ATTTGTATTTTGTCTATGTTAGTTATATACACTTAAATTGACAGTTCGTTTTGTTTTATTTACGAAATCACCATGACAACGAGCTGTCAATCTAATCTAATCGCTAACGAGAAAAGTATTTACGAGGGTAGAATAAAAAGTAAAGCACTTACCAAACGACAAAACATCTCAAATTATCAACTTTTCTAATAATCATTGTATATACGAGGGCGTAAAAAAGGTAGCTACGAGAATAACAACGAAGGAGAAAAAAAATGGAATCTCCCTCTCTATATATGGTTTTTGCCTGATGTCCGTTTAAGCCGGTAGGAGATAAACTAAACGGGTCAAATCGGGCGATCTTGACGGCCGTTCGACAAGGACGAGAGTTGACTATATTTCGTCGATTGATTCGACGGGGATCGATCGTGGGAAATTTCATCAAATTGAATTGATTATTCGGACAGTACTAGTACTCTAGTACCGCCCGTTACATCTAGTATAGTTCTAGTTTTTGGTACAAGGGTAATAAGGTGAAATAATGTTCTTCTCGGAATGACAAAAGATCGCGATTTTCAGTTGAAAAATTACATTATTCTTTTTATTAAGTCAAAATCTAGTTCAAGATGATTCTGGGGCATTATAGATTGTTCTAGACAGTTCTAAAATGATGGAGCGTTCTAAATGGTTCTATCTATCTCATAATTAAGAATATAATTGAATTTATGTAATTGATAATAATACAAGAAATCTCTAAAGAGATCTAAATAATTCTGGAGTGTTCCAAATGGTTTCAGACAGTTCTAAATGATTTTGAAGCTTTCTAAATGGTTCTAGACAATTTGAAAAGATTCTGGAGCGTTCTAAATGGTTCCAGACAGTTCTAAATGATTCTGTAGCATTTTAAATGGTTCAAGAGAGATCTAAATGATTCTGGACCATTCTAAATGATTCTATCTATCTCATTTATTAAGAATATAATTGAAGTAATGTAATTGATGAAAATACAAGAAATCTCTAAAGAGATCTAAATAATTCTGGAGTGTTCCAAATGGTTTCAGACAGTTCTAAATGATTTTGAAGCTTTCTAAATGGTTCTAGACAATTTTAAAAGATTCTGGAGCGTTCTAAATGGTTCAAGAGAGATCTAAATAATCCTGGACCGTTCCAAATAGTTCCAGACAGTTCTTAATGATTCTGGAGCGTTCTAAATGGTTCTAGACGGTTTTAAAGGATTCTGGAGCGTTCCAAACGGTTCCAGACTGTTCTAAAATGATTCTGTAGCGTTCTAAATGGATCAAGAGAGATATAAATGATTCGGGAGCATTCTAAATGGTTCAAGAGACATCCAAATAGGAGCGTTCCAAATAGTTTTAGACAGTTCTAAATGATTCTGGAGCGTTCCAAATGGTTCCAAATAGTTCTAGAGAGTTCTAAACGATTCTGGAGCGTTCTAAATGGTTCGAAATTAAGCATTATTCGAATGACCTTTAATTAGCATAGACCCAGAGCTACAATTCGGTTTGTATATTACAAATTTTGGCTGTAAATACATTCAACATAATTATTTTCCGTATATGGTATCTTCCGAGAAAACTAACAACAAACAACGAGAAAAAAAATAAAATAAAATAAACGCCCACACGTTGGTTCGAGTTGCAATTGAATAGAGAACGGTACAGATATAGTAGACATCTTTTCTTTTCCATACACCTCTCGCCTTCCCCTTCCGCTCCGCTTCCCCTGATGCTCTCGTATTGTTTTCCACCGGGGACACCCATAAGAGAGCGGCGCAGGTTTATTGTTCACGTTCTTTTATTTATATTTTGCAATTACAAGCGCTTTATCTATTAAATTAAGTATTGATTTAATGGGTTTACTTTGTCGCCGGCGATATATAAAAGACCCGATCCGCCATGATCTACTTGCCGGTACGAAACGAGAACCTCTCTTCTTTACACTATACAGTGTATAGTGAAATTTTATTTTATTTCCACGATGCTTATTCGCAATATATTATAGGTATACTTGCGTATATGAGATAAAGGTCGAACTGGTTTCTAATTCGGATTGTTTTCTGATGTATTCCTGATGTTAATTAAATGGTGTTTATCTATAAATATTATAAATATACAGGGTGTTAATTGAGTGAATATTTGGATGATTTTTGGGGGAGGAAGGAAAGTTTAGAGCATGTTTTTTTTTTCAATTTTTAATTATTAAAAGGTTAATTAATACGAATTTAAATGAGCTGCTCAAAATTGTCGCCATTTTGATTAGAAACAGTCTCCAGAAATAATCAGAATGTCCACCAATTCATTATATTTATATAAAAATGAGCCATTTTCAATTCAACAATCGAAAAATTGAATTTTTTGTCATCTAATACCTATAGAATTGACCATATTACAAACTAATTTGCTCTTATACAGTGTGTCCACGGATGGGGTTGCCTATAGGAAAAAAAATTTATTATTCATTTTACGGCAAAAAATCATTGTTTTTAAAAATTTTTGCTTCTTTTAAAAATGAGAATAACACTGAAAAATCTTAGATTGGATCTACAGGGTGTTGCCAAATTAAGAAAACATGAAAATACCTCAAGAGGGAAGTACCATTATTTTTTATTTTACACAAAATTTTTATAAAAGAAAGTTGTTTATAATCTAAAATAAAGCCTGAATACAAATTTTCAAATTAAAATTCCAATTTTGTGTGTCCACGGATGGAGTTGACCAGAGAAGATAATGATTATTAATTTTACGAAAAAAAAAGTAATTCTTTATAAAAAAAGAGCATTAAAAGAGAGATTAAAAGCATTTTTTTGTAAATAATAATGTAAGATAATAAAATTTCTTTCGTTCTTTCTTGAAATTTTTTCCTGTTTCTTAATTTACTAACACCCTATATGTTTTATTTAATGTTTTGATATGTGAATTTCATAATTCGTAAAATTAATAATAACCATTTTTCTTATCTGGTCAACTTTATCTAGGGACACACAAAATTTGAATTTAAGTTTGCAAATTTGTATTCAGGCTTTATTTTAGATTATAAACAACTTTCTTTTATAAAAATTTTGTGTAAAATAAAAAATAATGGTACTTCCCTCTTGAGGTATTTTCATGTTTTCTTAATTTGGCAACACCCTGTAGATCCAATCTAAGATTTTTCAGTGTTATTCTCATTTTTAAAAGAAGCAAAAATTTTTATAAACAATGACTTTTTGTCGTAGAATGAATAATAAAAATGTATCTCCTATAGGCAACCCCATCCGTGGACACACTGTATTTATATACATTGTAGATATTAAAGAAATCCGAAATCTAATTAGCCGCGTTTCTTTCGTTTTTATTCAAACGGTCAATTTTCCGGGCATATTTCAACGTGTCAAAAAATTTATTTCGAACGAGTATCAATAGGTATTGATCGGTGTTCTCACGGTCTTCAAAAAACATATTGAATAATCGCTCTATCATTTAGACTCGTTACGGAGCGTTTCAGAACCCATCTTCATACTTTATTTTGCTCGATATTAATCAAGCTTGTCGCAGAATTTTTTATGTGTGTGTGTGTACTTTTCGCGTGAATAAAAGAGGCTAAAAAATACGTATAAGTACATCAGAATGATGTTGTTATACTCCGTTCGCTATCAGGAGATAGTGTAATGTTGGTAATTTTATACTAAGTTCGCTATTATGCATGAAATAGTGCAATGTATGTAGGTATAGGTATTTTTTATACTCCATTCGTTATTATGCAGGATATAGTGTACTTAATGTTGCAACCTTTATACTCCGTTCGTTATCAGGAGATCGTGTAGTATTGGTAATAAAATTGAGAAGGAAAATATACTGCTCCGCAAAAGTTAAGGAAGTTCACAAATATTGAGATTAATTTAAAAGTTGCAGGTTTTTTGATCGCCAAATTTAGTATGAGTTGTAGAGGTACAGGCAAAAGATCCACTCGAATATGAGAGATAAAATTTAATTTCCCATATTTGAAAATTTCGTGATCATCATGAAAATAATCGCAAAATTTGCGAACTTCTTTAACTTTTGTGGAGCAGTTAAATACATGTAATGAATTCTCTATGAAAATTGAATCATTCCTGCAAAATTTTCTTCTATTACTTCTGTTATAGAAAATGACGTAGATAAAAATGACGTAGATCAAATTGTCAAAAGTCAAGAAAGAGCAACGTTGTGAAGTTTCTTGAATTTACTGAACAATTAGGGTAAAACAAACAACCATACAGCAGCTATATTTACTCGATATTTCCTGCTAGCGAACGGACTATAACAGTATTATGAATTCCCTATAAAAATCCTGCAAATTTCCTCGTAAAACTTCTCTTAACAAAAAAAAAAACGACATAGATACGTCAAATTGACAAAAACCTCAAAAACAAGCAACGTTGCCAAGTCTCCTACATTTACTACACATTCAGGAAAAACCAAACAACCATTCAGCGGCCATATTTACTCGATATTTCCTTCTAGCGAACGGAGTATAACAGTATTATGAATTCCCTACAAAAATCCTGCAATATTTCCTCGTAAAACTTTTCATAACCAAAAAAAAAACGACGTAGATGACAAAAACCTAAAAACAAGCAACGTTGCCAAGTCTCCCACATTTACTACACATCCAGGAAAAACCAAACAACCATTCAGCGTCCATATTTACTCGATATTTCCTGCTAGCAAACGGAGTATAACAGTATTATGAATTCGCTACAAAAATCCTGCGATATTTCCCCGTAAAACTTCTCTTAACAAAAAAAAACGACAAATATATGCCAAATTGACAAAAACCTAAAAACAAGCAACGTTGCCAAGTCTCCTACATTTATCACACGTCCAGGAAAAACCAAACAACCATTCAGCGGCCATATTTAACCAACCGATTATTACGCAATCCCATATAGAAAGCGCGCAATACGATTACAAACAAACAACAACAATATTACACATGTACACAATTTTCCACCTCCCACGAAAAAAAAAACCCGAACTCACCCGAATCGCTGTTTAAAATCGCGAAACTTCCACGCGACGGTCCAAAACCCATCCCGATTCGTCCTGTTCGGTCAAACGCGGGCCGCTCGTCGCCTCGAAGGAGGGATCTACCGATCTACCGGACCACCATACGAACCATCTAAGGACGCTGGACGCCTTATAAGGCGCCGCGCGACGCCAAATATGGCGCTGGGCCGTCCCAACGTCGATCGCTTCGATCGCTGCGAAAACGTCCCACTTCGCTATACTGGAAAAAAATAAGAAGAAAAAATAATTTGCCTAATTTTCGCGCGGCTTTGGGACCTAATTTTAAGCCCGAAAGCGGCTCAAGTAGGCTGCTCTATGCTCGGTCTTACGTTACGTCGGGAAAGATGCGACGTACGTCGTTGGGGTTTGTAACGGGTTGGAGAGAGACGGGTGATGCGGGGGAAGAGGATAGGTAATAAGGACGTGCGTACGGTAAACGTGTGTGTGTAGATTGTTAGTGGCAGTAAGCGGTGTTGTCGGATGTACGGTCAATTCCGATGGTTTGAATAATTATGTATATACAGTGTGTCTACTTAAGTTCGCACCATATGGAAAACTTTTTTATTATTAATTTTACGAAAAAAAGTTATTCTTCATAAAAAGTTCTGCATTGTGTAAAAACTAAAATACAACCATCAGATATCAATTTTTTAAAGCAGTATACGAGGTTTGTCAAAAAATGTGATTTTTGCTCAAGAGTAAAGTACCTTTATTTTTGAAAATATCAAAAATTATTATAAAGAAAAGTTGATCAGGACTAAAAATTACATTTTTTAATGTTTTTATGTAGTCGATAATTATTGTAAAATAAATTATTTTGTTATCATTTATTTCAATGCATAATCAAACTAATGCAACATAGGGGTTAAGAGATGTAAATGTAATCAAATTTTGAACGAATAAAGAGATAACAGATAACAATTTCCAATATTTTCAAAAATAGATTTACTTTACTTTTGAGCAAAATTCATACTTTCTGACAAACCTCGTATACGACTGAAAAAATTAGATATCTGATGATTGTATTTTAGGTTTTAAAACATGTAGAACTTTTTATGAAGAATAACTTTTTTTCGTAAAATTAATAATAAAAAAGTTTTCCATATGGTGCGAACTTAAGTAGACACACTGTATAAACTGCTCCATAAAAGTGAAGGAAGTTCGCAAATTTTGCGATTGTTTTAAAAGTTACAGAGTTTTTGATCACCAGATTTTCAAATATGCGAAATTAAATGTTTTCTCTCATATCTACATGGATTTTTTTGCCCCTACCTCTACAATTCATACTAAATTTGGCGAACAAAAAACCTGCAACTTTTAAATTAATCTCAATATTTGTGAACTTCCTTAACTTTTGTGGAGCAGTATATGTTGTCGGTTAAGTTAGATAAACGAGTAAATTTAGGTTTATTCAGGTAGGGTAAGGTAGGGTAGGTTTCTCGTGACATAACAGAAACCAAAGAAACCTACCCTACTCTACCCTAGTTTACCATAAATTCATGTTTCTTGGAAAGTTCGCAGTTTACTTTGTGTAAATTTAGGTTTATTGGTTTATTTTACTTTACCCGTAATATATCTAGTAATTGAATAAGGCAGGATTGAAGTATACCTAAACTAACTATAACTTACCCTTTTTCACTCTAACTCGATCGTTTAAAACTACCGTTAAATGAGTAATTTTGTTTGTAAATTTCGTCTCTATCCTGTCCCACTTTAACTAAATGTAACCTACACTTCCTCACTTTAATGTGACTTACCCTAATTATTTAGAACCACAGTTAAGAGTAATTTTGATTGTAAATTTCGTCTTTGTCCTACCCTATCCCATCACATCTCATCATAACCCACACTTTCACACTCTAACATGACTTACCCTAATTATTTAGAACCACAGTTAAGAGTAATTTTGGTTGTAAATTTCGCTTCTCTAACCTACTTTATTATAACTCACCATAACCTACCCTTCCTAACTTTAACCTGACTTACTCTAATTATTGACACAACCACAGTTAAGAGTAATTATGTTTGTAAATTTCGTTTTAATCCTGCCCTACTTTAACTAAATATAACCTACACTTCCTCACTTTAATGTGACTTACCCTAATTATTTAGAACCATAGTTAAGAGTAATTTTGATTGTAAATTTCGCTTCTCTAGCCTACTTTATTATAACTCACCATAACCTACCCTTCCAAACTCTAACCTGACTTACCCTATTTACACTACTTATGACCTACCTTACCTTAATTATTAAGAGTAATTTTGAAGCCAAATTTCGTATCTACCTCACCGTACCATAACTCACCATAAAACCTACCCTTCCACACTCCAATTTAACATACCCTACATACCACCATTAAGCGTAATTTCGTTCGTAAATTTCGACTCATACCCTACCTTAACTCACCGTAACCTACCCTAACTCACCATGACCTACCCTTTCCAAAATCTGCCCCTTCAAAACAGCGAATCCAAAGCAATCGCTGACATTCAACTACACCGACTACTCGATCCGATACATCCGGAGAAACATCGACAATCCGGCAACGCCGCCCCACCGTTGGGCGGCGCACACGTCGCCCCGAACGGCTCCACGGCCGGCTAGATCGCGTCGTGTCGCGCAGTCAGCTGTGATCGTGCGCCCGAAAACATCCAGAAGGCGAACAAACAGCCGATTCATAAACGAGCACGAGCACGATACACGATACACGAAATTCCCCGTGAGTGTGTTAAACGTTGAGTAAAACTAGCAACAGTTAACAGTAAAAATAAGCAAAAAAAAACAGTAATAACACCGCGTCGTTCGAGTGTAATATACCGTCGAATTCCGAGTGCAACAAGCGAACAAACCTTTTCAAACTGTGGTGCGAAATGGAACCACCGGGCGGGCGGGACACCCGTTTCAATCTCGGCTACAACATGAACCTGCTCAGCGGCGGAGGCGGCGGCGGCGGAGGCGGTGAGGCCTCCCCCGACGTCTACGGCAACCCGACGATGGGCGGCAGGCCGTCGACGAGCCTGCAACAGCTCTCGCCGCGCCACCACGCGATGGTGTCCGGCGGAGGCGGAGGCGGCGGCGGCGGCGGCGGCGGGTGCAACCGCGGCGCCATCAAATCGGACATCTACGACGATCGCGGGCTCGGCGGCGGCGCCGGCGGCGGAATGGGTTTGGACGGGTGCGTGGGCGGCATCGACGACGACGCCTACGCGATGCAGGCGAAGAAATCGCCGCCGAGCAACGGGAAGAAGACGAAGGGTCGCGTCAAAATCAAGATGGAGTACATCGAGAACAAGCTGAGGCGGTATACGACGTTCTCGAAGCGGAAGACCGGCATCATGAAGAAGGTGAGCGATTCAATTATTATTAGTATTTAGTTTATACATAACCTCTATTGTGCGCTTTTCGGATGTGCGTGCGTATATCGCAACATCCTAGTTGGCGGTGCACGTGAGCGGGTGCGCGCGCATCCGCGCTACGATATACGGACGATGCGAAACGCGGCGTTGCCGGGTTTACTTGTACGAAAATCCCTAGAATATTTTTACTGCATTTATGATCCTGATTAAGTGCATTTAACGTGCACTGTTTTAATTAGGCTATAATTAGGGATTTGAATACTTTTTTTTTAACTAAATTACTCGATAGTTTATGTTTTACACCTAATTTTCTTGATACCTATGATTTCAAGTCCTTAAAATGAATTAAATGGGTCACCTGCATCGTAGTAACCTTATTATATAAAACTTGTAAAACCCTACTCGTTTATTACGTGTTAATTATAGATAATTCGAAATTAAATAGCGCTCGAAATTTCTCTATACTTTTGAAAATAATATTGCAACCATATGGTCGAAACAATTTTCCCTTAATTCAATCCGATTCGCTCTCAATTTTACCCCAATTTACCCCTAATTCTCGCCCAATTCTACCTTCTAATTCAGCCCAATTCACGCTTAATTCTACCACAATTTACCCCAATTTGCCTAATTCACTCCAATTCTACCCAATTTTCCCTTAATTCACCATCAATTCTAACCCAATTTACCCTAATTGACCCCAATTCACGCTCCAATCTATCCGAATTTCCCCTAATTCATTCCAATTATACCCCAAATTGCCCTAATTCACTCCAATTTTACCTTAATTTGCCTTAATTCACCCCAATTCACGCTCAATTCTATCCGAATTTGCCCTAATTCACTCCAATTCTACCTTAATTTGCCCTAATTCACTCCAATTCTACCCAAATTTTCCCTTAATTCACCCTCATTTCTAACCCAATTTACTACCCTAATTGACCCCAAATCACGCTCAATTTTACCCCAATTCCCCCTAATTCATTCCAATGCTACCCCAAACTGCCTTAATTCACTCCAATTCTACCCTAACTTGCCCCGATTCACTCCAATTATACATTTTTTTCTTCCTAATTTACTCTCAATTCTATCCTAATTTCTCCTAATTAACCCTAAATTCTACCCAAATTTCCCCTAATTCCCTCCAATTTTAACCCAATTTCCCCTAATACACCCCAATTCTACCCCTCCTCGCTCTTCCCTACGCTTTTCTCTACGCTCTTCTCTACTCATCAGCAATTCCGAGTAAATTCCTGCGGAATCGGCAACGCCGCCTCCGACCGTCCTCGACGGAAAAAAATGCCCATACGGTGGAGCATCTGCGAACGTTTGCGGAATTTCCCCGGCATCGGGGCCGGTCCGCGGATTTCCTCGACGACCCGTCGCTTTTCCGAGCCGCAACACGGCCGATCCGACGGCGAATTTTCCCCGGAAACCGCCCGATCGCCGGCAATTCCACGACTTTGTAACACGTGACTGTTTCGGGCGCCCCGGCCGCCCGAGATGACGACGATCCGGGTAACTGTTACATTGTTGCGCAGAGGATTGGAAATTACATCGAACATATGTTCGTCGTGTTGAAGGATGATTTTTTTTTTTGGTTTTTTTTTTCGATCGTTTTACGATTATGTATAGCGTGAGGTGGCGCTGTATCGGGTTTGGTTTTTTCGAGCCTCGAGGGGGTTATTTTCTCGATGCCCCGGTAATATAAGGTGTACGTTGGTGTACGAGGTGATTTATTTCGTCTTGTACTCGCCATCTCGGGTTTAAAATAATTACTTGTTATCTTAATGATTTTTCGTTTTCGATTTGATCGTTGTTGAATAAACAAAACCGTTATAAACGTACCAGAAATAGCCAGAATCAGTTAAATCAATGTTAAATTCATCTTTTGCAAAGTAGAGTTACAGTCACTATAAATAGTTAAAAAATCAATAATCTGTTAATCAGTTATTCAGTTAATTAGTTAAACAATCATTATTCATCCAGCACTTTTGCAAAGTAGGGTTACATTTAATATAAACTGTTGAAAATAATCAAGAATTTGTTAAAATCAGTTATTCAGTTAATCAGTTAAAGAATCGTTATTTATCCAGGACTTTAAAAAGTAGGGTTACATTTAATATAAACTGTTGAAAATAATCAAGAATTTGTTAAAATCAGTTATTCAGTTAATTAGAACAGTCGTTATTCATCCAGGACTTTTGCAAAGTAGAGTTACAGTCAGTATAAACAGTTAAAAAATCAAGAATCTGTTAATCAATTATTTAGTTAATCAGTTAAAGAATCGTTATTTACCCAGGACTTTAAAAAGTAGGGTTACATTTAATATAAACTGTTGAAAATAATCAAGAATGTGTTAAAATCAGTTATTCAGTTAATTAGAACAGTCGTTATTCATCCAGGACTTTTGCAAAGTAGAGTTACAGTCAGTATAAACAGTTAAAAAAATCAAGAATCTGTTAATCAGTTATTCAGTTAATCAGTTAAAGAATCGTTATTTATCCAGGACTTTAAAAAGTAGGGTTACATTTAATATAAACTGTTGAAAATAATCAAGAATTTGTTAAAATCAGTTATTCAGTTAATCAGTTAAAGAATCGTTATTTATCCAGGACTTTAAAAAGTAGGGTTACATTTAATATAAACTGTTGAAAATAATCAAGAATTTGTTAAAATCAGTTATTCAGTTAATTAGAACAGTCGTTATTCATCCAGGACTTTTGCAAAGTCGAGTTGCAGTCAGTATAAACAGTTAAAAAATCAAGAATCTGTTAATCAATTATTTAGTTAATCAGTTAAAGAATCGTTATTTACCCAGGACTTTAAAAAGTAGGGTTACATTTAATATAAACTGTTGAAAATAATCAAGAATGTGTTAAAATCAGTTATTCAGTTAATTAGAACAGTCGTTATTCATCCAGGACTTTTGCAAAGTAGAGTTACAGTCAGTATAAACAGTTAAAAAATCAAGAATCTGTTAATCAGTTATTCAGTTAATCAGTTAAAGAATCGTTATTTATCCAGGACTTTAAAAAGTAGGGTTACATTTAATATAAACTCTTGAAAATAATCAAGAAACTGTTAATCCAGTTTTTCAGTTAATTAGAACAGTCGTTAATCATCCTGGACTTTAGCAAAATAGAGTTACAGTCATTATAAACAGTTAAAAAATCAAGAATCTGTTTATCAGTTATTCAGTTAATCAGTTAAACAATCGTTATTCATCCAGGACTTTAGCAAAATAGAGTTACAGTCAGTGTAAACAGTTAAAAAATCAAGAATCTGTTTATCAGTTATTCAGTTAATCAGTTAAACAATCGTTATTCATCCAGGGCTTTAGAAAGTAGGGTTACACTCAATATAAACATTTGAAAATAATCAAGAATCTGTTAATCCAGTTTTTCAGTTAATTAGTTAAACAATAGTTCTTCCAGCACTTTTGCAATGTAGAGTACAGTCAGTATAAACAGTTAAAAAATCAAGAATCTGTTAATCAGTTATTTAGTTAACCATTTAACCAGTGCATGGTTATTCATCCTGGAGTTTTATTATCATTATAAACAATTAAAATAAAATCAATTAATCAGTTATCAGCATTTCCTGTATGTCGATTTATAATGATATTAAAAATGGGATAGTGGAGTCCCCATGATGGTAATTTTCATTTCGGATGGATCTGAAATTAAAATCGTGTATTCGGTTAAACGGTGGAAATAACGGCGTGAATTATTTCTCGTATAGGCGAGCAGTGGAACACATTTACATATTCATCGGCACCGAATGGATGACTTGACGAAAATAACCCATTAATCCGGGGCGAAAATGAAACAAAAAAAAAAAAGAGAAAATATTTTTTAACAAACATGATATAAGATGTCAATTTTGTTAATAGCCCGTGGAAATTTGCTTATAAATTGCCCCGATTATGATGCCCCCTTTTCGCGCTTCCATCATCATCGAGTACTCTTCTTCTTCTTTTAGTTGTTTTTTTTTGTATTATTTATTCCGTCGCTTTTGTGTTTTGTGTCCGCGTATATCGAAAATTCATCGCCCACTTTTTTATGTTTTACAAGGCGATTATAATATACTCGGTACATCGATAACTTGCGAAAATCCAACACCTGCTGGAAACTAGCCCGAGTACATTAACAAGAGCATCGGCCGGTTTTTGGAAATTTCGAGAAAAATCAGTGGCGTTCTTCTACGAATAAATCGATTTTTTTATCGAGATTAACATCTTGTATAGGGTGGAAACGCCAAATGGAATAAATTCATTATTTTGGTTATTGTACATATTTATAGTAAATCCGGAAATACGTCAAATTTTAATTATAATTTGACATTTCTCAACGTCAAAATGTGAGTCCTATCTTCAACCCCCTTCGAATGACAGTTACAACCCCTATTTTTTTTAATTGGGAAGTATAAACTTGTGATATATCGTTTGAAAGGTCTGTTCATTCTCTATCCAAAAATGTTATTCTTTTCCAGTTTATTTCAAAAATTAACATTAAAAAAATTAAATCCTATGTCCCGTTTTAGCCTTAATAATAAGACTAGTTTGTTTAAAAGGCTTTAGCAAATTAATTTGTAATTATTAACTGCGTGATAGTAGTTGTCAGTGTTATAATTTTTGTTTAAATTTCGTTAATTGCAATTCAAAAAATAGTTAGATTAACAGAAATGCATAAAATAACAGTTTTGGTGAGTAGATTCATATTTTTTTACATTGTGAACAATTAGGTATTACATAATGAGTGTATTATATCGAATTTAAGCCATCAGATGATTTTATTTTTTGTTAATTTTCGAAATAAACTTGAAAACAATAAAAGTTTTGAATATAGAGAATACAAACACCTTTCAAACGATATATCACAAGCCTATACTTCCCATTTCAAAAAAAAAACAGGGGTTGTAACTGTCACTCGAAGGGGGTTGAAATAGAACTCAGATTTTAACGTTGAAGAATGTCAAATAATAATTCAAATTTGACGTGTCTCGGGATTTTCTATAAACATGTTCACTAACCGAAAAAATGAATTTATTCCACTTGGCATTTCCACCCTGTATAAACAAGCGTATTTATATTCACGCTTCTAATGCCCCCCCGAAAGTATTCTAACGGGCGTATTAACTTCCTCGTGGAGCCCGATAAAACGACCGGTGGCATTT